ACCTTTTAAAAAATTACAAAGGATATGTAGTGCTCTATTTACCACATATTTATATTACATAGGACATGTAAATCCCACTTGTGGGAAAGAAACAGACATGCTTCTAGAGGCAAAGATCAAGTGTTCTGCAGTTGTTAATGTTCAACTGGGAGGGTTCGGATGTGTCTAGTATGGGCCAAGGGAGGCCCTTGCTTCACCTTATATTACTGCCCCGGACCCTGTTTCTCCTCTTGGCATTCAGATTCCAAGTGCCACCTAAATCTCACTTCTCCCATCTTAACCTGCTTCAAGCCCACTCAATCTTTCTCTTCTCTCAACTCCTATTGTATTTATAGTCTGTATTAGAGCTGAGTATTGTTCTCTGGTTAATTCATATGTTCTTATCTCCCTAACAGTTTTTTGAATGCAGAAATCCCTTTCTAAATTAAAATTAACTTTATTTTCTATTAAATAATATATGCTCTGTGTGTTATTTTCCTCAACATTTTTAGAGATTTATCTTCATAAATATTAACTTGGTTCATTCATTTTAATTGCCACTTATAGAATACAAATTCATTAAAAGACAAAGAAATAAAAGAAAGTACCCTAATCATACGACTCTGCAATAAACATTTTTGCCTTCTTGTTGTATTCTCTTCTAGATTTTTCCTATGTAATGTTTTTTTCATATTGTGCATATCTTTTCATATCAAAAACTATTCTAGAAATAATCATTTTCTTTTTTTTTTTAAGATTTTATTTATTTATTTGACAGAGAGAGAGAGAGCACAAGTAGGCAGAGAGGCAGGCAGAGGGAGAGGGAGAAGCAGGCTCCCCGCTGAGCAGGGAGCCCGACACGGGGCTCGATCCCAGGACCCTGGGATCATGACCTGAGCCGAAGGCAGCCGCTTAACCGACTGAGCGCCCCGAAATAATCATTTTCTTAATCTCATTACTGGACATCTAGGGAATTTCTAGTTATTTGCCATCATCCCAAAATATCCAAGCTAATGTTTTGTTCTTACTTCTTAGAATAAATTCATAGAAGAGAAATTGCTTGATCAAAGAGATACACAGTTTAAGGTATTTTAAGGTCTGTTGCTAAACTGCCCTCCAGAATAAGGTTGAAACAATTTATATTTCCATCGGCAGGATATGAGAGTGTGTTTTCTCCCATCCTTTCCAAGAATGGGTGAGATCATTTTTTAAAATCAGAGACTATTTTTTGTATTTTTCTAGTACTCCTTAAAGTGATTCAGCAGAGATGGAGACAGAGTGGACACTAAAGATAGTTTTGATAAATTGATAAGTAGTGTTCTTCTCACTACTTATGACTACCAATTTTTTTAAGTAAATAATTATTCATTCACTCAATATATTTATACTACATGAGATTGTCCTTGGTGTGCCTACTAAAAATGAATATGGCATCTAGAAATGAAATAAATACTTTCTTTGAATTACTGAAACATAAAACAGTGATGACTAGTTTCAAAGGTAATGTGTATAAAATCTACTCTTAAAAAGAAAGTGTCTTATTGTCCCAAGAAGTCTCTTGGGAACAAACAATTCGTCTCATTTTTCTAAGAATAGGAAGTACTAAAACTTCTCCTCTGGGGAAAAAGACTATGAATTTAGGATATGAAAATCTTCCCATCCATTAGCTATTAGAGTCTTCAGAATCAGGGGAATTGTGCCAGAGAGGAAGCCAAAACCTGGTGTGGATTTTCATAGTCTCAGTACATTTTAGAACCTGTCCTTCCTTCAACATGAAGGGGGGAAAAATCAACACTAAAATTTCTGGGGAGAGTTTTTTCTTTCTATTCATTCCTAAAAGTTTGTTTTATTTAAAGATATCTCAGGGCTAGGGTGACTAGATGAATGTCCTATTTAGTTAGGTGATTTCTCCTGCTAAATTATCAGAAAGACCATAGTAAGGTAATAATTGGTCCCACTTTTTCAATGTACAATTCTTTTCACCTTATTTAAAGTGGTAATCATTAAAAATTAGCATAGCTTTAGAAATTACTGATTTGAAACCTCAATTAAAAGGATATATCCCATAATCCTTTTATAACATTTTCCTCTCTGTGATTTGCTAAAGGTATTAGAATGAGTTTGTCGCTCATAAAGCATTATGTAGTAGAAAGAGTATGTGAGTGGGGTCAGAAGATGTGAATTCTAGTCCAATGTCTTCTAATAATAGTTATTTAACTTCAGGCAAGTCACTTCTTTTGGGGCCATAGTTTTCTTTACTACAAACCAAAAATCTGGCTTAGGTCAGCATTTCCCAAAGTGTGTTCTGTGGAACGCATGTTTTATGAGATGTTCCACTGAAAAAAAGCAGTTCAAGATTGAGTACATTTGCGAAATGCTGCATATAACATGTGTCTCTTAGAAATTCACAGTGAACATATTAAAACCACTGAAAACCACTCTAGTTTAGAAACCCATCAAATTTTGGTTAGCCTAGCATTTTTCACTTATTCGATTAAAGGAAAATTTTATGTTTGGGGATCATATCTACTAGAGTTCCAAATAACACACTTTCAGGAAATGACGGACTAAGATCCTTTGCTATGCCCTGATTTATGGTACTACTCTTTCTCCTACAGGTATTCAGCCTGTCCTCTGAAATCTGCTCCTCCTTCTGGGATCTCTACTTCACAGAGATGACCACGACATTCCAGTCTGTCTCCCAAACCAAAATCCTGAGGGTCATCCAAACTCTCTCCTTCTCATTCACTCCCTCATGTCCAATTATACATAAAATCCTATGGAGTCCACCTCCTTAATATTTCTCCCATCTAATCCCTCCTGCCCACTTCACCTGCAGCATATCTCATCCAGTTGTTGCCACTACTTCCTGATTTACTCCTGCCCCAGTCTGGTCTCCCTGGTTTCCAAAACGCAAATTCAGTTGTTCTGGGGCTTAAAATCTCCAAAGATTTTATTATTTATTAATAATTCCTAGAGTATCAAGTTCAAACTCCTTGGTTTAGCACGAGCCCCACCCACCACCCCCTTTTTAAAGAAGCCCTTCTACCTTTTCCTTCCACCTCTTTGACCCTCTTCTGTGCCTGTCCTGACAAAATGGAACTGCCTGCAGAGCCTCTAAAGCATTGTGCTGTTCGGTATCTCCATCCCTGCATAGGTATTGTTGTCTTTGTCTGAAACGCCAGTTCCCTCCTTCCTCATCAGGTTAGGTCCTCCTTGTCACCGAATATTCAGTTCAAGAATCCCCTCCTGTGGCACCTGGGTGGCTCAGTTGGTTAAGCGATGGACTCTTGATTTCAGCTCAGGTCATGATCTCAATCTCGGGAAATGGAGCCCCACATCAGGCTCCGCGCTCAGCAGGTAGTCTGCTTGGAATTCTCTTTCTCCCAATCCCTCTGCTCTCCTCCCCCTGCTCTCTCTCTCTCTCTCAAATAAATAAATAAAATTGTAAAATCTTAAAAAAAAAAAAAAAGAATCCCCTCCATTGGAGGGCTTTCCTGAGCTGGGAATGAACCCTGCAGTCGTGACTTCCTTGCATCCTTTACCCACTAGACTTTGTACATTTTGAGGGCAGGAACCACCTTGCCATGTCTTTCTTGCCTTTGTATTCCTAGGCCTTAGTTAGAACTCAATAAATCCTTGTTGAATGAATGAATGGTTTCATGGTTTAAAGGAAATGATGAGAACTTGCTTACTTTCCTCAATGGCTGAAAGTGACTTTTGTTTTATTTTGTTTTTCTTTCTTACTAGCCTTGACCAACCTAAGCCCTGGGAGGAAAGATAGTTGACTAAACGCTATCTAAAAAGCGCTCAATAATCTATTTTTTAAAGGAAGTTCAAAGAGAGGAGTATCTTCCTTGTATAGTATCACTCAGCCTGGTAATAGTATTTGATGACAATAGAGATTTATCAGGTCTGGCACTCAGGTGTGTATAATCTCAATAAACCTGGTCATGAGGGAAATGGGATATGTATGTATACATATCATACAGATATGTATGAATTATCACTTATCAGAATGTTTGCATTTGTTAATTTAAAAATATTTATTGTGCAAGGTACCATGCTAGTATTATGGAAGATCTAAGAATAAGTAAACTGTTGTATTACATTCATTAGGGAAGGTCATTTTGAAGTCCTCAAGAATATCTGAAAAAAGGGATGTAACTAACCAAACCAGGACATGAACACTCTGGTTCTTAGGGAGTCCAGGTATCAGAAATGTACAGTCAATTCTTTACCTGTGAAAATTCAAGTTGCAGATACTCTTAAGCAAACGGGAAGACATGATAAAGGAATGTTCACTGCGACTAATTCCAGGTAACACTTCCGACTGGTCAGTTGTTTTAATGCTGTCAATAAACTTGCTTTGCATGGAGCCAGGCAAAAATTATTTAATTCTATTTTTTTCCTTTGATCAACTTTAGGAGGTCAAAATATATAAAAACTTAAGATTAAAACTTAGAAGTCTGACTAAGTCAAGCCTACATCAAAATAAACTGTATCTGAGGAATTTAGAGCTTGATGATCAAGAAAAATGCCAAAACCTTATTCCTAAACAATTTCAGTAAGGGGGTGACAGAAATTAAGAACGCAAAATAAGCAAACTTCTAAGGTGAAAAGTAATTAAAGATAATGGAAATGTCCAATTTTTAAAAGCTTCTCAATATAGTACATGAAAATACGGAGAGTTGTCGGCCAAAATGGGTTTTCCTAAAAAAAAAAAAAAAGGCCTCATAGACCGCAACGACAATGGTCCCTTAAGCGCCTAAGACATCTGATGTGTTGCTGGGGTCTTTGAATACATGAATGACATATAGGTGCATGCATACAGGTCCTTGACAGATCTGCTCGATGCTTCTGTGAGTCCCACGGCCCTGGGACAGAGGCCACTGGGCCTGCGTCCAACGAAAAGCGAGCAGGGGGTGGGACAGCACCGGGATTTTCCTTCCTCGCTCATTCATTCTCTGATTCACTGGTTCCTGGAGGCGGTTTACAGGCGCGCGCGGAGGAAAGGCGGAGCACCGCGGACAGCCCCGTCTGGGTGCGGTCCGGCGCCTGAAGGCAGGGTGAGAG